CGTGTGTGTGTGCGTGCGTGCGTGCGTGTCGTGTGTGTGTGTGTGTGTGTGTGTGTGTGTGTGTGTGTGTGTGTGCGCGCGTGCTTGAATGAGCGTGTGTGTGTGCGTGCGTGTGTGTGTGTGCGTGCGTGCGTGCGTGCGTGCGTGCGTGCGTGCGTGCGTGCGTGTGTGTGTATGTCTGCGTGTGTTTGTAAGTGTCCTTATGCGTGTTTGTGCGTATTCTTGCGTGCATGCGAGTGCGTGTGTGTGCGCGCGTATGAGCTTGTCCTTTCATCGATACCACGATGACTGTTCGGTAGAGAGCGAGTGGCACAGATAGCAGACGTAAGCCGAAGACTTCGACCCAGCACGGAGAGTAATCACGACGCAGTGACGTAAAACCCGCTACACTTATCAATTCCAGTCGCACCTTAACCGCTTCGCCGTTTTCCGAACCGTCAAAAGCTGCTGGGAATTCTTTCCCAGGTGCATAGTGGGACGCCGTTTTCTAATGTGTAAGCATCGGTTGGCAGCTACGGTAGCGGCTTGAGTTAACCGCACGAGTGGTCGCGAGAACCGAAAAAATGTCCCGCCAGATTTGCGTCGCGTATATGATCTATAGCTGTGAACGTGAGGCTCGCCGCAGTCACAGATCTCATGACTCGCTGTCACAGCTCGACACGGAAGCTGGAAACATCTCAAATACAGAGACGCCAGCACGGCCACGCTATCTGTCACCTGTAACAAAGTTGAAGCACGCGCACGCACACCCACACACACGCACACACGCACGCACAGCCACGTACACGCGCGTGCGCGCGGGTGAAATATCATTGAAATGGCTGCAGGCGTTACATAACACTAGCAGCATTGGTGAGTACTGCAGTCGGCACCGCTGGACGCACGCACGCTGTAAACACACCACGCATGCACATCAGAAAGCACGCCTGGGTTATCGCAGCCGGCAGTTATACTTATAGCAGCCAGTGTAGACGCGTACATACATGTACCTTGCGCTTCGGCCAGCACTGCCAGCGACAATCCGAGGAGAACGTGCAGCATCATCGTGGCGTCGTCGCGCTCAGTACTGGTCGCCTCCACGGTAAAACCATGACTGAAAACTCTCTCCTCTCTCTCTCGCTCGCTCCTTCTCTTCCTCCACGCCGAATCGTCTTCCTCTCCCCGTGTCCGCGCCGCCGTTCGCTAGCGTGCACACAATAGGCTGTTCTGTTTACCTCCCTCTGCGATGGCACGGCCCACCGGAGCTCCCCCGGGAGTTGGGAATCTAGACTGCTTCGCCGGCTGCGGCAGGCTCCGCGCTACGCAGTCAGGCGGCAAATGAAGGAAGGCGGCCAGGCGAGCAGTACACGGTAGCAGCGCCGCGGGAAAGACTACGATCGCGACTGCTCGGAATAGATAGATAGATGCGCGCGGGGAGGTTGTGATAGGGCGGCAAGCAAGCGAGCGAGCATGCGATGCATTGCGTTGCCTTGCGGGTTGTGCAGTCGAGGCCGCGCATTGCCTATGTAGAGAGAGGATGAGGAAGGAAGAAGAGAGGAGAGATGCTGTAGAGAGAGGAGGCTGCGGGTGCAGTGAAAAGATGTTGCTGGAGAGACAAGGTCGTAGAGAAAATATAATGCGGAGAAAGGATGCAGAAAGAAGACGGTGTCGAGTGAAGAAGCTGTGGAGAGACGAGGCTATGGACAGAGGAAGCAACTGAGATGTGTGGGGCTTAATACTTTCTGCTCCCGCAATTGACGCTCTCTTGCCGTCCCCCCCCCCCTCTATCCTTCTTTCTCGCGCGCATGCTTTCTTCTATTTTTCTATTTCTCTAAATTAATCTCTCTCTCGCTCTCTCTCTCTCTCTCCACCTCTCTTCGTCTTCTATCGTTTTCATCATCCCCACCGCTTTCACTCTAATCTTCGCTCTCTTTCACTCGATCACTTTCTAGTGGATCTTTACGCGTTACGAGTTATGAAGAGATGCGTTAGTTAAGTACACCTAGCAAGTCGTCATGCATTAGTTGTACGACATAATTCCCATTCAAGACGCCATTTCTGCACATTTGCACACAAGGATTACTTACACGTCTGCCCCCGCTTTGTTCGACACAGACGAACGGCTAATGAGAGATCTGCGATAAAAGATGGGGAGCATGCGAGAAAGCGAGAGAGCGAGAGGGAAAAGATCGAATGTGATAGCAACTATAAATCTATAGTTATAGCGATATCTGCTTGCTGTCGACGACGCTGCTGAAATATGGGTAAAGTAGTCAAGGGGACGCGATAAGGTATATTAAAAAAAACCGCTCCCGCTCGCAGAATCCGAAATGCCAGATAAGCCATGATCGATGACGCGCTGAAAATAGCCACGTTTTCAATTGGAGAGGCTGTCGCGTCATTGCGGCGACGGACGCATGGGACAGATTCATGAATGATCGCGTGAAAGCACGGGTGCTCGCGCGCGCGCGAGAGAGAGAGAGAGAGAGAGAAAGAAAGGTGGAGAAGCCGACGCGGAAGGATGCGAAATAATGAAGCCACCAAAAGCTCTTTCCATCGAGCTACTAAAAATCCATCGCTACTCAGGAAATTGGACCTAAACACTGCCCACTAGAGACATGCACACTACACAACTGCCCCGTCTAAAACATTATTCCTACAGACAATTAACCGGGGCCCGTTGGCAGAAACATAATCAGTCTCATTATTCTTAAGACTAAGTCTTGTTTTTATATTACTTAATGTGTTTGTAAATCGACTGAATTTTGCTTCGAAAAGTCATGAAAAAATTTGGTAGGATTTTTCATTCTCGTGAAGACATTTTTGTCAACGGCAAAGGGTACATGTTAAGAGTAATGTTAAAACTAATTTTGTTTCGGGCAACGGGCCACATGTTTTGAAACTAACTCTACGAAAATTCTCGATACTAAAAACCATATTTTCACTGAACAATGATTATCCTTATCCTTACTAAAAAGCCAATCCTTAGTACTACTTTGTGCTACTGCGCCTGCACAAACCATATCGCCCTAAACTATAAAAAAAATCCTACTAAAAATCGATTAGGTAAAAGATCACAATAAAAGCGAAAAGTGATCGGAAGAGAACAATTCAGGAAGCGAAAGATCATCGCTCTCTCGAGCCCTCGAACAGATCTCGCGAGATCTCGCTGCGAGATTTCATTAGGTTTACGCGGTCGGTGCATGTAGCGCTGGATAACGCTGACTATCTAGTGAATGACAGGGGATAACGGCTTTATAAATTCACGATGTCCGTCGAACCTGTAACGAAGTACGAAGAACACCGCAGAGTTATCGCTCAGAGGGTAAATTTTTCACGAGAACAAAAAAAGGAAATCGATATATTCATACGCGCACAAAATAGTCGATCATGTAGAATCCGTGCTTTTTGATTGACGGCCTACTGGCGGTGGTGATGGTACAGGTCTATGATGGTCACTATGTCTCACTAAGCTAATCATAGTCATATAATAATAGCTCTAACCACAACTCTACCCCTAATCCTAATAACAACAACCCTAACCCAATCCCAACCCTAGTCCATAGAATAGGATTTACTATCACCAAATAAGATAGTGAATGTGACCTGTGCAATATACACTAGCCTGTACCGTGCAACGCCTTAACTCATCAGCAACATCAGGTTGCTACGATTCACACCAACGTTAGTCGATACCAAGATGCTATCGCGTGAGTAGTAGGATAACTTCATGAAATACAACTCACCTGAAACAACCTCTCCATCCTTCTCCCTTCTATCTTACCTCGCATCTACCCCTCATTCCCCTTACTATCCTGCCTCATTCTATCCCTCTTTCCCTTCCATCTCACTCGGTTCACCATTCCTCTTCCTCTTTCGCTCTCCTTTGCCTCCCCCCCCCCACACACACACACGCACGCACGCATGCACACGCACACGCACACACACCAACATAACCACGCTGCGTATTCTCTGCTAAGCAGACGAGATCGCGTGTGCTCGTGATAGGCCAATAAGCGGGCGCTGCGCGAACTCGGCAGGTTTTTTCGCGTTCGTCTCTATAGCCCGCCGAGCTCCAGCGCGGCAACAAGTTATCCATCACTGTCCAACAGGCGGAAAATTGCGCGGGCCGTGACAAGTATTAATGGTGCGTGTAGGCACGCCCACCGCGCTCCCAATAGCTTCCGCTCCACCGCACACGCTCTCAAACGCCCGCTAGGGGGACACGCTGTCAGTGCGCGTGCGATCTGCAATCGCGTCAGACGCGTTGCATGGATGATACCGGCACGATACGGAGGATAGGAGGGAGGGGACGAAGTAGGACAGGAGAGGGGATAGAGATGTGGGGGGAGGGAAGGAAAGTGGTGGGGAGCCACGGTAAGGAGGATGGGAAAGGGGGACGAAGTAGGAGAGGAGAGGGATTGAGATGTGGGGGAGGGGAATGTGGGAGAATATGACGAAGAAGGGTAAGGGAAGAGAATTGGGGAGGGGTGGAGAGGTAGGAGACGGGGAGGACGAAGAAGTGGGCAAGGAGAGAGAGGGGAAGGAGGAAGACGAGCAAGAGGAGAAGAAGAAGAAGAAGAAGAAGAAGAAGAAGAAGAAGAAGAAGAAGAAGAAGAAGAAGAAGAAGAAGAAGGAGAAGAGGAAGAAGAAGAAGATCAAGGATGAAGAGGCGGAGGAGGAGGGGAAGAGGAGGAGGGGAGAAAGGAAGAGGAGAAAGAGGGAAGGAAGATGGAAGGAGGATTAAGAGAAAGAGGATTACGAAAAGGGGAAGATGTGAAGGATGATGTCAATGATCAACGAGGGGAGGTGAAGAAGAAAAAAACGAAGAGGACGAAGAAAGGTAGGCAGAGGATGGTGAGGAGTGGAAGAAAGAGAGGAAAGAAAGAATGGATGGTATAGAAATTATAAGTGAAATGACAAGGATGAGGGAAGGTAGAATGGGAAGAACAATGAGTAGTAGGGGTAGCAGAATGAGAAGATGTACAAGTATCAGTGCTCATTTCACCATGCACCATAATTAATCCCCCCTCGACCGTGATACCAAGTGCGCTATTTTTATTACACCAAAAAAGAAATATCGACGAAATGTTTCAGGATTCGCATTGTGCAACGAAGTACTAAGAGTGCGTCGTCATTTGTTATGCAGAGCATTAGTAATATTAGCGCGTAGGCGGTGATGGCTTCAGACAGGGGCTTGTATTATGGAGTAAAGAATCAGTGAAGTATGAATCAGGAGAAGGGAACTATAAACATATATATGCAGCGATGGCGGCGGTCGAGACCGGCGTAAAAACTAGTATTTCGACACACTTACAGGAGACGCAACAGTAGCGAGTGTTTGCCAATATTGCGCCATTTTGTCTCTTGAAAGGCCCTTTTCTTTTTTGGTAGTATAATATCCAGCACTAGAGTGCACGAATCTGCATTATATACGCAAGGTACTATGGACGTCTGGAGAGCATAAATAGTAAGATTGGTGTTGTCGAGAAATTATACTATTCTGTCAAGTGACGTGGCCATTGGTGACCGGGTCCGCCGTTTTCGTGTGTGAGACGGATTCCGACGGCTTGCTGGAAATTGTGCATCATTTAGCTGGCGAAAGTTCCGAGCACAGTGTGGACCTCTGGTGGTTATTTGGCATGAGTAACGTGTACATACTGTATATGTGCTAAAACTCTCTGAGTATTTTTAATTATTGTGTGTGACACGCTTATTTAGGCTTGCCAGAGCCGTATATAGATATCTCTATATATCTCTATATACGGCGCTGAGGCATGCTGCCCACGGACGCCCTCTACTGTTGCAAAACACACATACTCGCGATTGCTCCTTTATTAACACTGTGAGCGCCATAGAAATTACATAGGTAAAATATAGTGTCTATGTATTATATGGTGAGCTCTCGCCAAGAGGCGTATGCTGCATAACACGTCCTGAAAGAAACCCACACGTGGCCTCGGCACGTTCCACTATGACCTGTAACTACATACAACTGTAATTATATTCATAGTAGCAATTTATTATTTATATTTGTGGTTTGAGCAGAAATACGAGATTCTTCCTATATAAGCAACTCTATGTTCTGCTATTATATCACTCGACTTTGCGCGAGTGAAATTTCTTTCAACGCTTAGTACTCAATTGCGCTGAGTAAAAAACGCATGGAGGTTATGAGCAAAACGAGTGGATATATGAAAACACTACATATGTAGGTTGACCTTTTGCAGGGTAATCAGCTCAATTCTTCGTTTTGCGAATATTGTTGGGTGACCCCACTCCAAACAGCCGTGCATACTATTTACCAGTGCTTACTCTGTTGTACTTGAACTGCTAGAACAGGGGGTTCTTAACCTGTGGTCCATGGATCCCTTTGGGGTCCGTGGATGGGCTTCAGGGGGGTCCGTGAACCCCATTGTATGCAAAATTTTGTGTTTATGTGCTTATGTGCATTTTTCTGGGGATGGGCCCGTAGCTTTCACCAGATTCTCAAAAGAGTCCATGACTCAAAAAAGGTTAAGAACCACTGCGCTAGAACATAGAGTGGTTGGTAGGGTACCGATCTGCCTGTCCCGCTGGCAAATTTGCGATTCCCAAACCGTATAGCTATGGAAGAAAAATTGAGCAACGTGATTGGCTAGAAAATGTTTAGGACACGCCCACTATCGCACGCACACCATCGCGCATTTTGCACAGGGGCTTATTTATTTTATTTCTTATTATTTTTGTCTAATTTTGTTTTATTTTAGAATTAGGGTTAGGGTTAGGGTTAGGGTTAGGATTCGGGTTAGGGTTAGGGTTAAGGTTAGGGTTAGGGTTAACTGATTTCTATATCTACGAATTTAGTATCTGTTTCAGTGGGTCAGCGCCAGAGCGTTCGAACGCGATGTGGTGGTTTTATTTTCCTCTGCGTTATGTATTTCTTTGTATTTTATTTGTTTCTGCATTTATTTGTTCTGTAACATTTGTTTATGTTCTGAATTAAATATATTTCTTTATAATATTAGCTTATAATTTAATATATTAGCTTGTTGACTAATAATGCGTGTCCTAAAATTTTTCTAGCCAATCACGTTGCTCAATTTTTCTTCCAAAGCTATACGGTTTGGGAATCGCAAATTCGCGTCCCGCTGCACCCCTTATCATTAGAGGGGTCGTATCACCATCTATTGGGATGAATACTTTCTCAACTATACTACATACACAAATTATATAAAATAGTCTTAATTTATAAAAACGGAAAGGCAAATAGGCATTGTTCTGGAAAGAAAGTTGTATTGCTTTTTAAGCTCATTTTTCCACATAAATCCAGTAGAGAAAACAAATAGAACAAGTGTAAAACCACTATCATTGGCAACAAGGTACGACCGTTGCTTGCATCCACCCCGAAATGAACATTACACGCACTTGAAACAACAACACACACCCCTCCCCCCCCACCCCACATCATACGTAGCAGTGGCAGCCGTGCTGCCTTTGAAACTCTCATGTTCTCCCATCGCCGCCACTGACAACATGAACGTGTGCACGCGACTTGTTTACTATACCCAGCGAGGCACTAATTCACGTCTGAAAACTCCTCACATCGCTACACCGCGAATATGCCTCCTCGCTCGCACAGGGGTCGGTAGCATTAGCCCTACATAGTATCAAGAGTGCATAATAGAGATATGATCTCTATTATCTACTCTTGATAGTATCCATGGCCCCGCACTACGCCATGGAGAGCAACGAATGCGCTAACAGTAGAACTAAGGTAGAAACAAGTGAGTATGTCCATCGCAAACCCCATCGCACCGGCGCGGGGTATGGCTAACTATTGCTAAGGTATAAGCTCGCCGTCGACTAACGCCGTACCGCTAACTCTCTTCATTATTCTACTGCTGCCCCTCCGTTTTCTTCAGCTCCTCCTCCTTCTCCTTCACCTCCTCCCCCCTCCTCCTCCTCCTCCTCCTCCTCCAATCGTATCGCATCGTAACACCACATGTACAAAAGGAACAGTTGCATAACAACATCTGATCCAGCCTGGTACGCACAGTTGCGACTGTTTTCGCTATAATTATGCGGAAAATACCATCGCACAGACTGCGGAGACAAGCATGGTGGGTGGCGGATGAAGGGAAGGGGGAGGGAGGGAGGAAAGAAGGAAGGAAGAAAAGAAGGAAGGTAGAAGCTACTCGTTACAGAGTCACGTTACTAATACAAACGCGCCGCCTGCACACGACACACCTTGTGACGTCACTATATGGCGATGTGTTATGACGTCACTTTCGGGGATCATCATAGAAATAGATATATACCTATATTATATATATATATATATATATATATTTCTATGGGAATCTCCTTCGTACTTGTGCGTGGCACATCATCTATAGTGGTACAGGGCTGACCACAGGCTGTAGTGCGCAGTAATGAAATATATTTTAGAATATCATCATACCAAGTTTTTAAAATTAAGTGGAGAACAACTGATGCTGTCAAAAACATGTTTTGTCGAATTTGTTGGCTCGGTAAAATTTGTTTGATTACTGTTGAATATCGAAAGTTTTATATATATATATATATGTGTCTTATATCGTGTTTTATATCAGAAAAGAAAAGGTTAGTGTTATGCGTGCACAAAACGTTTGGCGTTTTATCGTTTAAATGAGAATCTAAAACAAGAGCCGCAGAGCGTCTGGGCTCATCTGAAGTCTGTTGCTACGATTATAAACGTAACATTTAAGTCGTGCGTAGTGACACCTTTGTTAGGCGCAGATATGCAGATACGCAGTTGCGTACACATCATTTCAGCAACCTTCTTCTGCATTCTGCATCTCCCAAATCCCATTGGTTGATACAAATCGCGTGCCTGAAACTCCTGTTTTATGGTGCATTGTGACCCTAACCTTAACCCTATTAACAACAACAACAAAATTAATTGTTGTAAAAATTATTTGTTGCTATTGAATTGTTGTAAATAAATCATGTAAATATTTGCATTAATTAAATTGGAAAAAAATAGTTAAATGGATAAAGATAGAAAAATACAGAAAACAGGTCAATAATAAAAAATCAGATGGGATTCAATCTAACGACCTTTGAGCCGTGACGCCTGTACTGTACGCGTTCGGCTATCCAGGCTTATTGGGTTTCTAGATTATGGATGTGCCATGAATATGACAACACTGTGACGTCATTGAGGCAGTTCAGGAATCCATGTTTAACCCTCCTCTTGAGGGTCAAAAGGTTATCAGACACTTACGCTTCGCACGTCAGTGGAAAGCACATTTCATGGTCCTTTCAATAAATTGATAAAAATGGTAGATCAGCGCTGAAACAAAAATGTTTTTCACTCTGTCCATTAGGCCATGTCCTCAGAAAATGTCTGATATCTGACCTTTCCCCGATTGCCCTTTGACCTCCAATTTCGCACTGGTGATGGGTTTCCTGCCCATCACACTATACACCGAATATTAAGAACATAGGTCGAGCCGTTCAGATTTGTGCCGCAATTCCGTTTTTCCTCCTATACCTTAAGTTAAGGGTGAAATATTCCCCCTCCGTTTAAACATCTTGACCTTTGACCTTTGACCCCCAAATTTGTCATCCTGAGTCCTTTTCACGATCCCCCGACGTCCCGAATATCGTGACCGTACGTCGAGCGGTTAAGATTTGTGCCCAACTGTTGACGCACGGACGGACGGACGCACGCACGCACGATCATGCGATTCTACAAGCTGCATCTGACTACGTCAGATGAGCTAAAAAAGAGCACCGAAAAATATTATAGATTTGGAAATTTAGAATTTTGATTAACCAACAAAGACGATGAAAAACAATTTCGAACTGTCACCAGCAGTTATCCTCTGAAAGAAATTACATGTCTCGCCATATCACTACGAAATGATTTGATCGAGAAGAAATGTGGACCGGCGTGCATGTCACCTAAGGGGCTGTTCTCAGAATCATCGTGAATAATTATAACTAATCACCATCTAGGAAGCCATAACTTTAACCCACAAACTGTTGTGCAAAAGTTATCGCATCTTGGCCTAATGATAGTTAACTACGTTTATACAATTACATTACAATTACAATTACAATAGCATTACAATAGTATTGTAGTATTTGTCACGTTTTCGACGATTGGCCCCAGGCTGCATGCTTCGTGGTTACTTGCGCACTGTAACTCAGCTACACGCGATGCCCACCCCTCAGTCCCCAGTACTCGCTAGACATAAATTCCTGTTCAGCAAATCCTCTTTCGCCCTCCATCGCTCTAAGTAAACACCCGTACGTAGATTTAGTAACGTGAATCTCTGCTACAAACAAGCTCACAAGTCGACATTGCACCTCTGTCGGCACCAGAGGGACCACATCTCAATGAGTCTGCCACACGAGCTCACCAGGGGGCGTCACACGCGGCCTGCTGCACCCACACGCATGGGTACCAGAGACAAAATGACAGACATAAACTTCACGCGTTACGCATTTCTATAGCAGATTCAACTCCATTCGGTATAACCGGACTAACTCTTTGTATCTAACCCTTCGCCTTACAAAAGAAATTGGTTCCGGTAATTGAGCGAAGGGATACAGACGTAGAGGAATTTGGTCAGATTATCCATTCATGTGAAAGTAGTATAGTGACTCTACATAAACGTTATCATGCGGAGATGTACTGTAAAGGTGTTTGCACAACTTGAACAGGTGCGCACACCATGTACAAAGTGGGACCTTTCGTTTGAAAAACAATATACCCATAACTTAACGGTAGAGGGCGCTAGGTCAAGATTGCTAGGAGTCGCAGCAATGGAGAGATGGCTATGATTGGCCATCGTACTCAGAAATAATTAGTTTTACTGCGGTTAAAATTATGGCCCTTTTACCCAATCAGAGGCCTTGTTCCGGATAATTTAACCTCAGTAAAAATAATTTATCCATCGTTAAATTATGTGTAAGAAGGCCTCTGGGTAAAAGGGCAATAATTTTACTGCACTTAAATTATTTCTACCACGGTAAAAATAATTTATCCGCAGTTAAATTATGTGTAACAAGGCCCCTGTTTCGGTAAAAAGGGCCATAATTTAACCCCGGGAAAATTGTTTTTACCGCAGTAACAATAATTATTCCTGAGTACGATGGCCAACCATAGACGGCGCATGTTAGCACAGACTCCTGCTCATGCGCGAGTGAGGAGAGGCGGCCTTGCATCGCTTGCCTTCGACTGCAAGTTCTGTGCCATGTCTGCCAAAAAATAGCAGTCAGCTGATGCGCTGGATATCAGCTAGAATTAGTAGCACACGTTCATGTTTTATCCGCGTCGGCGTTGGTTTACCCAGTACCCTAGCCTGTGATATACACGTGTAAACATAGCTCACACAACATTATTCGCAGCAACTCGCCCTTTCCCACGAGTCCACGTCATAGAACTAGAATAGAAGTTCTAGTTCTATTCTAGTTCTATGGTCCACGTTACAGCGAATTCACAAACCTTACACAGTGCTGTCATCTAGTGGCAGATTACGTTAACTGCTGTTTTCAGCCCGCTCACATCTTTCATAGCACAACTAGCACAACATCGTCAACTGAGTGTTCGAAACCTGTTATATTTCGCACGTATTCTAGTGCTCTGCAAATCAGCATGGACCAGTCGTTGATACTTTTGATGTATCTCAAAGAAGATACGTCTGCTCCTTAGCTTTGCATGTCCAAAATTATTTCCTGAATTTGGAGGGATTAATAGTTACTGGCCACAAACGATTTTTATTCCATATAATATTCAATTTTGGTTGGGATCTATTTATGCTATGTTTATTTAAGTATTCTTTTTCCACCATATCTTAAGTGGCTGTACATGGTAACATCATTTTTCAAAAACAAAAACAAATTATCCAGAAAACAACCATCCTCAACATACAACCAACTGAGACATTTTAGCATAGACAAGTATTGTCGTACTGTATTCAAAGTTACAAACAAAGCATACATTAAATTTGCTGACGAATCAAATAAATTATAGAAACATTTGCTGCCGAATGCTCTATTCATGCTACTTGTCCATGAGTATATGTACTTCTGAATTTCATTGTCAAACGCTGAAGTGAAATTACGTTTCCAATGTTAACGTAATGTTGTTTGGCGTCTGGGCTTATTGAAAAAATCAATACCCTATAATGCCTAATATTTCATTATGAAATGGTATAAAGTAATTTCCTACTAATTTTCGTTCCTTCTGAACTGAGAAGAGAAAAAAAAATTACATTCAAATATATCCTCCTGCGTATACCGGATCATTTTACCGAGCAAGCCAAAAGACCTTTTCGTGCTGATGTTTTACCCTAAGCCTTGTTCGTAGGCTTTCTCAGGTGATTTTTAAATTTCCCGTCTGAAATCGACGAATGCCTCCCAGGACAGACCACCGGGTTGTGGCAAATATGTACATCGAGTCTCAGTTACCTCTTATAAGACGGCCAAAAGCACGTGGGTGACATACTGCTTCACTTTTACGGCAAAACAAAACACGATAAGGTGTGGGCTGCAAATCTCGAGAGAGAGAGATAGAGAGAAGATAGGTCATGTGTTACAGGAAGACTGTTTTCTGGTGACATGATCATACTGTTGCCTCAGAAGCAATAACTTATAGAGTCTGACCATCATCGGCAGTGGGCAGTTGGTGGGCGGGAGAGCAGGGGTTGGGGGTCGTGTGGTGGGGTCGGTGAGAGTTCACCCGTTCATCGTGCCATGTTCTGACGCCGCCGATTCGCTCGCCTGCAGCAGCTTCTGGTCGTTGTGAAACTTCTCTACCTGAAACAATAGAACAGCAGACGATGCACTTGCGTTTTCGCCAATCATAAATGTTCTCGCTCGCACAACAAAAGGAGAGTCGAAATAAATCCAACCAGCAAGTGCAGTTGAAATGACGATTTGGGTTTAGATTTAGGATTTTACGTAATTTCCATTGTTAATATATAACAGTTCGAATAGTAAGGCATAGCCTTTGAGCGACCACCCCGGTTGAATTGCTGGACTATTTTTTTATAGCGAGCAAATATAAGAATTGATAAGTCAGAATTCAAACAAGGGAGCCGGAAACGGAAATGTTGTGCACGAAAGTGAGGCTCCCAGAATGCATCTTAATTAGCCAAATTTCTGGTAGGCTACCGGTTGCTTCCATCTCTTTCGCACCTCACATAACATGTTTCACCCACCGGCGGTGGTCGTATCATAATTTTTTTTCCAATTTTTTTGCATTTTTTTGCCTTGTTCTGCACTTTAAAAAGACATAGGTGGCTCCGCCCACTAATTTTAATACTAACCGCACACAAGAAACATGTTTTAATGGCTAAGAGCTAGTAGATAGTAATGTCATAGGGCCTTGGGCACACAAAGTGGCCCTCTACACAGGTTAACCCTCCTGCAGTCAACATACAGCCTACTAGCAACTTAAATTAGAAAATTGCTGCTTGCAGCTGTGATGGGAACATGCTAGCTAACAATTGTTGTCGCAAAACACGAAGATCTCCTAGCACCAAGCAACAGAATGAATCACAGACACTCAATTTTGTGAAATGCCTGCATGTATCATTGGTATAGTTTTCCACTTGTCACTACAAGACGTTGGCATTTTCTAACCGCAGTTGTTACTGTTAGCTGATAGCTTTAAAACATTAACACAGCACTATCTCAACCCTAACACATGCATGAACACAGATGACCTGCTCTCTCCAGTGAAAACCACTCCATCAGTACAACTGTGATGGAGCAACTACCCCCAAAATACCTCCAACTCACAATTTTCCTTATGTGGTTCAGTGTTTGTTCACTGGAAGGTGCTTGCGAAATACACTTGCAGTTTTCTGGTCTGTAAGGAGGTGATATCATCACCTGATTCATCACAACTATATCCTGGCTCTGGTAATGCACAGGCTCTATCCTAAATAAATGAAAGCAAGTACATAGTTAACAGCAGATGATTACACACTGGTTGGCTATGTGCTACAGACCTTTTCATCATGACTTGGGTCATTACATACCACTTTTTCCATTTGATCTTTACATATTTTAGACAGTCACACAATTTTTAGAAACAAATTACATTTTGATAAGCACAGCAGGGAGCACCAAGCCGTGGGATGTCACCTAACTAATATAATCAGATATTTGTAGGCAAGTTTAGCCATTTGGAAACCTGCTTATAAAAGATTTATAAAAAATAATCCATGCTCAGCAAAAACCAAGGTGGAAAGGGGTTTTCTTAATCACAACTTATGTCTACACAATATACACGGACCCCCTAGTATCAGTAGACAGGAATAAGTAAATTTGAAACCGTCGGATTACTTATAATTATGTTCAAGCTGGTACAAAATCGGGAAACTGTGACCGTTTATCGATGAACTGCTGAATAATATAAATTACTACAAAACTGACACAAAACATTATTTATCACTGTATTGGTTTATAGTTATACTAACGTCTTTGTAATTGCCAGATACAGCTTTTGTGCTTCGGGAGATACGTTTTCTCCAATGGAATTGGCTTGTCTAATCTTCTCTTTCCTGCTTTGTTCCAGCCTTGAGTTGAGCTAAGTTGAGTTAAATACAAATTTAATCAATGGATTTACACTTATAACTTAGCAGTTGTATACTTTCTATAAGCATTTTATTATTTATCAATTTGATCATTTCTATACTATTAGTATTACTGTATTTCAAGTCACAGTCATATTAATCGCTTAATTATTCTAATAAACATTCTGATAAGTTATCAAATAAATACTCTTCTACATACAATTTCAAATAATTATTAAATTTGATGAGTTTAACATGGCTGCTTCAACAAGTTATAAACACCTAATAATTTAATTTCTTTAAAATAAAGTTATAAAAACTCGCAAGGAAGAATAATCCTTTAAATTACCAGTTTATTTGTCAGTTTAAATCAAAAACTGACAAGGCTAAGTTTAATTAACACTGACAGTCAGGTATTTCAGTGAATTAGTTGTCACTGCAGTCTACTTATTATTAAGTAAACTTGGTAGTTTTAAAATAACGGACTAATCATGAATTCAAAATCATTTAATCATGAAAGAAATGAACTTCAGTAGCTGAATTGTGTGATAACTATGGCTCCTATATTCATTTACCCTCTGGAAGTTAAGGTTAGGAACCGCAGGTAGAGTTTTGTTCTCCTCCTCGTGGATCAAACTGACGCTGCTGACCAGAGATAGGTTGATCAAACGCACGTCACTGTTGCCAGGCTTCGAGCCATTCTTTGTCGGTGATTCTGGGGTTTGCATGGTAAAGGAATGATACTCTAGAAATACCAAAGAAATCTAGAGCGAAAAAATCTACGAGAAACTATGAATAATATCAACATATTACTTGTACTAGATGGGCTAAATTGTATAATCTATTGTTTACCAAAGAAATTGTTGCATTAGATGAGTTACAACCTGAACTAACCTATTTGTCAAATTGATTAACAGGTAGATTTAGCCAAACTGCATCACAATAGGGTAATTCCAAAAAATGCACCGTAGCAACATCAATGACATCAAGTGACAATTTGGTACATCTACTTGAAAAACATGTGCAAAGAGTCTTGTACAGCCTTGTAACAAAGTCATTTGGTATATAGGGCAGGTGTGTAGGTAATCTGTAATCTCTTAATTAAGATATCAATGCAAAGTGGAGAATTTATAAGCATTTCAGTCATAAGAAAATATAGGAACATGTTGTGTAAATATAAACCTGTGGAATACGTTGGAAAAAAAATTATAAAGAAAATAAGCGCGGGTTTTGAATCCGGCTTGCAAAGTTAATGCTAACTGTTCAGCCATTGATGTAGCTCTAGTACTATATATAGCCCGCGTACAGTTGCCGCAGAGCTATAGAACATTCTATTACGAATGCTCGGGACCAACTTACTCCAGCCAGTCAGCGGGAACTATGTCGCACGTGGAGGGGTGAGCGGGTTGTGTTGGTTGTGGACAAAAACATTGTTGTTGTCAAGTAACAAATTAATAATAGTAATTTGTTCATCTTTCATGACAAAACTAATATTACAATCTTTTTTGATCGCTTAATTTGTTACTTGACAACAACAATGTTTTTGTTCACAACCAACCCAACCCGCCCACCCCTCCACCACGTGCGGAAATACATAGTTCCCGCTGACTGGCGCTGCTGCAGTGCCACCAAAAATGGCCGTTTGAAGTTCGTAAATAATGTTCGTTCACAAGAAATACCACAAGTAGACCATTTCAACGATAGTTAGAGGTTAAATTTTAGTAGCGGATATAACTTAAGACATATTCACTTCGGATAAAAGGCATTAATTGCCTACCACAGACGTTTTATAGCCGCGAGTAACTGTAAATAAGTTGGTCCCGAGTATTCGTAATAGAATGTTCTATAGCCCTGTGGCAACTGTACGCGGGCTATAGTACTAGAGCTACCATTGATTACACTAGAAAGCCTTTCATGAATGAACCTTATGCATCACTTATCAATAACCAGGGGAAACGTCACCAATGTGATAATACTAGATGTCCTGTGTTTTGACGTCAGCGTGTAAATATTGTTTTGGCTGAACATGCCAATTCAGTAATTGTGCAGACATTGTCACTGAGGCCGATGACAAAGTGGTGTTTCTCTGTACTTTCAACTCAGCCCCATGGGCTGTTTAATAGGGTACGGAATAATAATTGTATCACTGCAAAGTAAAATTCTTGGCACAGAAAAACAGTAATATAATGATAGTATACTACATCTACAAAATAAATCATGATGAATTTATAATATATTGACCCTATTTTGACCGGCAATGTTGATGTCCAATAATAGTGCCAATACGCGCCGAGATCTCGTGATATTATATAAATGTTTTTATAATAAGGATACTAAGTGCAAGTAACTTCGTTTGAAGGTCGTAAGCCATCACTTGACCTTGCATTTCCTGACCATAACATGTCGTGCACTTGACTTCACTTCCTATACTGAAGTATTCATTGCTGTCGGCCGACATGACTTTCATGGCTCCTCTCGCTAGAATGATTTCATGTTTGAAAAAAAAACAGTCGCGGAAATAAATTATTCGTAATCGTTACAACTTAGAGTAATTAATAAATGTATTAAAAAAATCTATGTATTTATTATTAATAATTGAAAGACACTAATATTTAAAACATTGTCAAATGAAAACATGATGGTGTGCTCATCTCTGCTTAGAGGCTGAATAAAGATGGCTGCTCCTATGATTACCCGTAGGTGTTGAAGAATGGGCAATAGACTGCCCTTTTAGATCCACTTACGTGTTATACAGCTAGCATGGAGGAATCAAAAGAAAAAAATGTCGATGAGGTTAAGCTATTTCCATTGATAGATTTCTTTATTGAATGTTACAATCGATTATGCATCGGTGTACCGTAGACTGTAAGTGTAAAGTCTAAAGACGGTATCCGTATCTGGATAGTTTACTGCTAGCTCTAGTATTACTATTAGTAACTATAGCCCGCGTACAGTTGCCGCTGTCGTAGCGGCAACTGTACGCGGGCTATAGTTACTAGAGCTCATAGGGTCTTATGTCCCCCAGGGTACTGCCGGAACGTACCCTGGCCTGGGTAATACCGGACCGTACCCTGGTAACTATTTGATATGGTTAGGGAGTAGGCGACTTCCTACCCTAGACTCGTTAGTGGAGTAGGCGAGGTACGGTCCGGCATATTAGATAGTACCAGGGTACGTTCCGGCAGTACCCTGTGTAAAGTTATGCCTATAACTTCAGTGAGGACAAACACGTTATATATATTTTCTAGAATTAACCTTTATTCTAATCCTCCATTTCCATTCCTTCGCCACGCCTCCCTCCCTCACGCACGCCATCTCCCGGCACGTATAGTAACCGTCTACAGAGTGTTGGCTAATTAGCAGAATAACATTACATCTCCCCTTCTTTAACAAAAATGTAAGGACATGCGACTGGGTTATTGCTGATGAGTAGGTGAACTCCATGGCTAATTATAGGTTGTAAACTGACCATATGCTTGTCCTAATGACCATATGAATAACACAATATGCTCAACAAATTTTTTGGTGCACAAAATTGGCACAACATAGATTGTTACAATGCACAGATTACACACACAACTGACACAAATCGTCCGTACAGTTCATATATCAAGAATGTCTCTTGGTTTGACGGGACGGCCAGATCGGGTGACGTAGGGCCCGCCGGGTACTATCTCAGGTGGTCCACTGTCCACTGGTGGTCCAGGGCCACTCAGCTCAGCACTGAGGGATTCTCCTGATGATGGACTGACATGCCTGGGCTTGGACGGGGAAGTCAGAAACAAATGGCGTCTGTTACGCCTGTACTCGCCTCCTTCTGTGCGGACGTGGTACGACCTGTCAGCATCTGCTACCTTGGTGACAGTAGCTGGCTTCCAGTGACCGTTCGCCTGCTGGATGCGTATCGCATCTCCTGGGTGGAGTGGATGTAGCGATTTTGACTGACGGTCGTAGTAGTGCTTTTGGATTCGTTGTTTTCGTAGGAGCTTGTCACGAGCATGTGCAGTGCTCACCAGTTTTGGCTCCAGCTGCTGGGCTGTGGATGGCAGAACAGACCGCAGTCGGCGGCTCATTAGCAGTTGAGCAGGCGACGCGAGATTGTCCACAGGTGTATTGCGATACTCCAGCAACGCAATGTATGGGTCTCGGCGATCGGCTTTGGCCTTCTCGAGTAGGTGCTTAGCTGTCTGGACACCCTTCTCAGCAAGGCCATTAGATTGGGGGTATACCGGGCTTGAAGTGTTATGCGTGAAGTTCCAGGATTTGGCAAAGTCTGCAAACTCCCGCGAAGCATACTGGGGTCCATTGTCAGAGACGACTTTGTTAGGGATGCCGTGTCTGGCGAACATCCCTTTTAGCTTTCTAATCACAGTATCACTGCGAGTGTTATACAGCCTCTCTATCTCGAGATAACGACTGTAGTAGTCCACGACTATCACATAGTCTTCGTTAGTGTTCCACGTGAACAGATCTGTGGCAACGGTCTGCCACGGCCGCTCAGGCACTTCACGAGGCAACATCGGCTCCTTTGTATTCGCCATTCTATAAGACTGGCAAATAGTGCAACTGGATATTAAGTCTGCAATGTGGCTATTCATTCCAGGCCAGAACATGACGTCACGGGCTCTTTGTCGGCTTTTCTCGATTCCCATATGTCCTTGGTGTATGAGAGCTAGCATTTCCCCTCTCAACGTCTTTGGGATGACGATCTTGTCACCCTTAAAGATGATTTCCTCCATGACGGTCAACTCGTCTCTGTGATTCCAGTAGTCGAGAGCTGCTGTTGGGCATCTGTCTCGACGGCCTGGCCACCATCCTAAGATAACGTGCTTGAGTGTAGAGAGCTCATTGTCGTCATTCGTCTGAATTCTGATTTCAGAGAGCTTGTTATCCGACACCGGGATGTCGGAGACATCCTGCACCTGTGTATCGGCTCCATCACCTATGTCATCACTGTGGCCCTCGACAAATTTTCTTGAGAGTGTGTCTGCGACCGGGATATCCTTTCCGGGAATGTGGGTGACCTCTATGTCATACTTTTGCAAACGCAGCATCATCCGTTGAAGTCTGGCTGGTGCAGCAATTAGTGGTTTCTTGAGTATAAACTCGAGCGGTTTGTGGTCGGACTCAACTATGACGTGTTTACCATACACATAGTGATGGAATCTCTCACAGCCAAACAATATGGCATACATTTCTTTCTCGATCTGTGCATATTGTTGCTCAGTTGATGTCAGCGACTTGGATGCATACTCCACCGGTTTACCGTCTTGTAGCAGAACAGCTCCAAGGCCACGCTTTGATGCATCTACCTGCAGCTTAACTGTCTTGTTGGGGTCATAGTAGGCCAACACGGGGCCAGGTGTTTTTGTGATCAAGTCTTTCACCTGCTGGAGTACGGCATCCTGCTGGCTGTCCCACACAAATTCATTCTCCTTCTTAGCAAGGTCCCTGAGTGGAGCTGCTATCTCTGCTAGCCGGGGAGCGAATTTGGCCAAGTAGCCAACCATGCCTAGTATGGTCAGTAGTTCAGCACGGTCGACAGGCGGATCCATCTTCGCAATAGCTGCTACCTTCCGGGGGTCAGGCTTCACTCCCTCGGACGACAGAATGTGACCGAAGTAGCTGACTTCAGTCATGCGGATACTACACTTGTCCTTGTTTAGCTTAACACCTTTCTCCTTCAGCCTCTGCAAGACCGCACGCAAGTTCATGTCGTGTTCGACTAGTGTACGTCCGTCGTCCGTACACCAATATGTCGTCGACGATTGCTGCAACACCCGGAATGCCTTCTAGTGTTTCGTCCACTTTTCGTTGGAAGACATCCTGTGCCGAGTGTATGCCGAAGGGCAAACGCGTGAATCGATACCGTCCGGCGAACGTGTTGAACGTTGTCAATTTCGAACTCTCCTCCGATAGCTTGATGCACCAGTATCCTGATCTTGCATCAACAACGCTGAAGTATTTTGCTCCAGCCAGTTGCACCGTGATATCTTCTAGAGTGCGCGTGGGGTAGTTTTATGGCCCGGTTGAGATCGCGAGGATCGAGACACACGCGAAGCTGTCCCGTGCGCGGTTTTTCAACTACTACGAGCGAGTTTACCCAATCCGTGGGTTCATGTACCTTCACTAGTATGCCCATCTTTTCCATGCGATCCAGCTCATCTTTCAGCTTGCTTTTGAGAGTGAGTGGCACTCGCCGCGGTGGA